ATATAGATGAAGTGTCCTTTAGTTTTATATTAATATATAACATTTTAAGGTTTATATGTTATTAGACCGGAGGTATGGTTAGACCGGAGGTACGGGTGTCGAGTTTTCTTTACTATTATTTGTGGGTAACACTATATTTTCTTTTTCTTTATCTAAAACTCAAATGATGAATGGGAAGCTACCCTCACCATTTTGTTTTTTTAAATAAAATCAATTGATTTTTATGATTTATAATTTTTAAATTAAAAATAACAAAAAATTTAATTAAAAAAATACATTTCATTAATTAAAATAAAAATTACAATAAACCTAAAACTTTAAAAAAAAAATAGAAAATTAAAAAAAAAATCAAACAAACTAACAACGACCTATGTAAAATATTTTTCATAATTTTTTCTCTTTTCTTCATCACGAGCTCGAGAGATGGTTGTTGTTTTCCATCAAGAGTTTCGGAGAAATTATATGATTATATTGATCAAACAACGCTGTTATTTTCCGCATTTCGTCAAGATCCATGCTGAAATCCGATGCACCCGAAGAAGTCTCTTTTCCCGTATTCTTTGCTTCTACCCTACCCATCGGTCAGATAATTTTTTCTAGCTCGAGTTCGTCCTCTTGATTTAAATCTAGCCCGACCCGAGCATCGGAGGAAGTTGTGTAACTACTAAAATTTGTATTCGAACACTTTGATTGTTGGGCTCCAAAAATAAAATCTTGCTCGTATTTTTTCCAATTAGGACATCGAACCAATAGTTTCCAACAATCGTGTCACTTGAATTGTTTTCCGACTTCCTCAAGGTAAAATTTCAATGTTTCTTGAAGTATTTCTTCGGCTCATTGGCTGCTTATTTGTTGGGTTTTTAGGTTGTTGTACAACCTGTTTATTTTTAAAATCCCCTTTGCTATTTCTCGAAACTTCGAATTCAGTTGGTGATTCATATGGTTGTCGTCACCATTTCCTAGCTCCTCCCGAAACTGTTCTAAAATACGAAACCAAAAATGTTCTCCTGGTGGTGCATTTCCATGAATCGAATCCACAGAAATATCAACCCAAGCTTTTACCAAAACTAGCTCTTCTTGTGGAAGCCAAGATGTCGGCTTTTGTCTTCTGGGTTGTGCGACACCCCCCCCCCCCCCCCCGCGTGCTTGTTTTTTCCCTTTACGTCGTCGTGGGGGTGGTGTGGGTTGAGTTTCGGGAACCATCTCTTCTTCTTCCGAGTCATCCAACTCATCGACAAGTTGGCATTGTTTTTGGGTTTGGGTTTGAGGTTGATTTTGCGAAAGTTGATTGGGAAAAACAACAAAGTTTGAAAACATTTGTGGAGTAACATTTGGAACTTGAACCGTATCACAACTAGCATTTTAGCTAGTAAATTCTATTCTTGTGTAACCATTTAGCTATTGTAACACATCTACTCTAAGTGAATCTCACTCAAAGGTTATTTAAATTCACATTTCATGTTCATCAAAGAATCTGAAAAACCCTAAGAACCCCGGTTTGAGTCCATATTGGAATACGAGTTCCTTATTGGGCCTAATGGACCAATAAGCACCCAATTCATACTTTATTGGACTTAGAAGCCCTAATTGGATCCTAATTGGACCCAATTCATAAATCTAAAACATTTCGAACCATTTGAGTCTAGAATGATTCATTCTAACCCTAATAGGCCTTATTGGGTCATAACTAATCAAATTAACCTTAGTGAGCCATAAGCCCATTCTTTTATTCTATTTGGGCCGTGAATGCTTCCAACGGTCTAATGGGCTGAAAAAATTTATGTTTAGGATCCAAGACCCTAACTAAAGATAATGGGCCCAACCTACTCCACCCTTTCTTCTTGGCCCAAAATCTCGGCCCATGTATAAAAAAAAGAGAGAAAAGAAGAGATTTAGGGGGTGACTTTAGAGGTGTCAACTCCATTTTGTTCATCATGTATCCATGCAAAGACGACCAAGCAACCAAGCTAGTCACCTCACCTCTCTCTCTCTACCCTCTCCTTTTCTACTCTCGGCCGAGAGCCAACACACACGCACACACATTACACCAAATTCTCTCCATTACTCTCAAGAATCATTCATCTTCTTCCTCCAAAAATCTCAAGACTTTTCTTGGGTTTTAAGATGATTTTCACAAGATAATCATCATTTCTTGGTAAGTCTTCACAAATCCAAGCTTTATAACTCCAATTTCATGATAGATCACTTTTTTAGCAAATTTTTTGGTGATCATACTCCTAGAAATCTTCTTAAGTTCAAGCTCTACTCAAGGGAGTTGCTAGGGCCGAAAATCACTTCATCTCTTTCCACTTCTTCTTCAAAAACCGAAACATCAAGAAAATGTGAGTTCATACCCCCTTGTTTTCGGTTTTCATATGATTTTTGGGGGAGAATACAAGTAAAATGTGTAGATCTATGTGGTATATGAATGTTTTGTGTGAATTATAAGTTATTTGGCACAAATGTGTTAGATATGAGCAAATCTCGAAATTTTAAGTAATATTGAGCAAAGATCTATGAACTATGACTTTATATACATCACATTATCAAGCCAAAAGTGATTACATGTTTAAGATACAAAAGATTTCAAAAAAACCTTGTTAAAGGTCAAAATTATCAAGAAAACAAAAGATTAGGGTAAAAAGTGTCATTTAAGTTTCCATAAGAGCCAAACAGGTCCTACATGTATATAAAGGTATTTCTATGTTAATCATACTTTAAAAAAGGGTCAAAATGAAATTTTAAGCTTAATAGGCAAACATTTGGGCCTCACAGTTTTTGGGGCCCAAATTGCGAAAAAAAATTGAAGTTTTTTGGGTTAGAAATGATATTTAGCCACAGTTTAGATCATAAATGTAAATAAGCCAAATTTAAGGGAGAAAATAACATTTATTTTCAAATTGGACCAAAAATGTAAATTTTTCCAAAAATTGGGCCGAAAGCGTAAATTTTTATAAACAATGGGTTTAAAATGCACTTTTCTGCAAAACAGGGTTCTAAATGTGAAAATATAACTTTTTGGGCTAAAACCATAAATTTTTAGACATTTGAGACAAAATTACAAATTTTTATAAATTATGGACTATAGTGTCATTTTTACAAACTTTGGGCCTTAATTAAACATTGGAACGTTATTGGCCAAAAATGTCGTTTTTACAGAAAATGATATGTTTGTTATCAATCTAATAAACCTCGAGCTAAAATAAACAACAGAGTAAAACAAACGAACGAAACACGTCGATAACTATTTATTGGACCTAATATTCACGATCTTGGCCATTGGGCCTTAAGAGCTCAATTAAGTGTATATTGAGCCCAATGTTTTCCATCACATGTTTACTAGGCCTTTCGAACCACCTACATGTTAATTTGGGCCTAAGTTATGGAATACATGTTTATTGGGCCTTTGTGGCCCATTTACATGCCTATTGGGCCTAAATTACCCTTTTATGATGTTATTGAACCTTGTGGCCCATTTACATGTTAATTGGGCTTGGAATGAAAATTCACATACTTGTAGATCATAAATATACATCTACATAGTTTATGAATTCATATACTTATCTTTGGAATGGAAAAATCTATAACTTACGCGTAAAACATTAAACATGGGGAAAATCTTATCAAACGGGAAAGGGTGAGAATCTAGTGAGACTTGTCGGTTGGCACCTCTGAGTATACAATCGTAGCCTGTAGTTATAATCAGAGTTTCATGGATGGAAAGCGGGAGTTTGTGTATAGATCTATACGGGGTGACCCCCCACGCCTTAGTTGTTCGCTACAGCAAGACTAGGCTAGTCTAGGGCGACAACATCCTTAGCAAGACAGACGTTTGGAAAAATACCAAGACGGGCGACCTAGTCAGTATCATGCATGGTTATAACGACTCATGTAGGGATTCAACACCACCTAAACACATAGAAGATTTTTTCTTTAATTGTGTCAACACGATAACGAGACAAGAACCTAGACATTAAGACAAAAAATATCGAATTTTCTAGGAAAAATATTCATATACATTTATCCCTTATTCACGATACAATGAATTTAAACTACACTCATATATGTTATAACCATGGAATTCACACATGCAATCATACTTGATTTTCACATCATTTTCAGACAATTTACAGAAAATATCGGATTTTCTGGGTTTTTACGAAAGATACATAGACTTTTATTCAACCATATTTATGAACTCACAAACATTATATATGTTGACCGTTTTCAAAATAACTTGTATTCTCATGTAATCGTTAAGCTGGAAGATTTGCAAGTGTGTATGGTTTTGTTTTATGTAACATCACTTATCGTAATTTTAACAACTATAACTTATGTGTTTTTAACAATGCACTTGATGTAAACAATGTTGGTTGTATTATGTAATGTTGGTGATGAATGTGTTATGTTTCATGTATATTCATTGTGATGATTATTCAATTGTTAGTCACACGAGCCCCCGAACATTTCCGCTGTTTGGTTCGAGGATGGGACAGGTTGGTATCAGAGCAATGTTTATAGTGAACTAGCATATCTAACCATACATGATATGCAACTGTAAACACAATGGGACTAAATAACTCTGAACAAAACAAAAATATCACACATATGTGCGCATATTAGGATAATAACCTAACAATATTTAATAAAACCTTCTGGAGGATTTGAACACTGTGATTAAACCTGGGCAGTTATGTAGTCATATTAGGGATAAATATAGCCTGATTAACTATATTTATTCAGAATATGACCAACATGTGTTCAGGAGTAACCATAGCGGGAAATGTATCCAAAAGCCTACCCCACTCTCCAGTAACTCTAGGGAATCCAAACACAAATAATTAAAAATACTATAAGAGTAATCAAAACATGACTTGTTCCCGCGCCTCCATGCAGTCACCATGGATGATGATCAATAAGTGGTACACTTCTACCAAGCACTAGTGTCTCAAGGAGTGCTTGAGGAGGATCCTAAAGAAAACCCCAAAGGAGGCCCTGGCATGGGTCAACAGGTGGGACCCAAAGTGGAATCGGAAGAGTATGTGGTAACTGATTACGAATATGATGAATCTGACTGGGAGTCAGATGAAGGAAAGGATGTTGAGGAGGTGCACAATGAACCCCACCTATTGAAAGCCCCATCAGATCCACGCACGTTTCAGAAGAGTGATGCATACCATTTACGCTCTCTTGAGGAAGAAATAACAAATATCAAGCGTCAATGCGTTGCAACCGAAGCAAGGGCTGTATGAGCTGAGCAAAGGGTAGAGGTAATCACCCAAGAGGCAAATGAATTGGCTGAACTTCTGATACGTCAGCTCGACGATTGAGTGCCATCGTCAACACTACCAATGGGACTTGCTCTACTACTTGCTATATATGTGTCACAATATGTGAAACCAGTCGTATCTCCTACTAATACTGTGTTTATTCTAATGCATACTACCCTACGTACTATCGACTCTATGTTTAAGTGATTACATTACTCATATGGTCGTCATGCTGCCGGATTTTATATTTCTATGTACTATATGCCTTTTGGCAAATTTTCATGTATCAAAACTATTAGTATTAATGAAAATGCTTTATGTTTTATCATGACGTTGTTATTTGCTATGTGTTATACTTCCTTGTTTTATGTCGATGTGTGAAATTACTTAAGTACATGCTATACACCTAGTCTATAGGATCACAAACTCGCAAAAATCATAGGCACTCAACATCTTCCCATTCCATGACAGAATGATACCTTAAAGACCCACCCGTGGAAACCCCGAGTCATCGCCTCCAGAAATTAACTCCGTTGCATTCCAGGCAGCAGTGTCCGCTGTGGTCACTGCAACACTTGCACAGATTCGCAATGGAAACAACAGACAGGGAACTGGAAGTACAAATCAAGGAACAAATCATGGAGCCGCATGAACATGTACCTACAAGGATTTCACCAACGCCAAAGCTCGAACCTTTAATGGGACAGGAGGCGTCATAGCTCTGAAGAGATGGATTGAGAAAATAGAGTCTGTTTTTGAAATCTGCGGATGTCCGAATGAGTGTAAGGTCAAGTTTGCAGTCTGCACGTTCATTGACCAAGCTCTCTCCTGGTGGAATGGCCACATAGAGGCCATGACACTCCCAGTGGCGAACGCGATGCCCTAGGAAGAGCTGAAGGCGATGATGTTAGCAGAATATTATCCTAGAGGTGAGATACAGAAGATGGAACAAAATTTGTGGAACCTCACGGTTCAAAACTCCAATATCGACGCATACATCTCCCGGTTCAGTGAGCTATCCCCTCCGTGTCCCGTAATGATCACCTCAGAAGAGAAAAAGATTGAAAGGTTTATCTGGGGACTGACTGAACCTATCCAAGGGAATGTCATTGCAGCAAACCCTAATACGTTTGATAACGCCAAGAGACTAACCAAGAAACTGTACGATCATGGCAATAATAAGGGTGCCAAAACAGTGGAAGTGGAGGTTAAGAAAGAAGAAGAGAACAAGAAAGGTAAAACAACAAGCGAAAGAGGAAGCAAAGCTAGGAATCGTCTAAGAAGCAACAAACGGTGTCTGTCCATGCTGCAACACAAGCTACTACCACACCACATGCTCCAGCCTCATCCATGCCAACTGCTTCACAGCAGTACTCGGTAAATCTCCCCAAGTGCAATAAATGCAACTTCCACCATCTTGGGGAATGCAGAGAGATGAATTTCACAAGGTGCAATCGGAAGGGTCATACAGCGAAGTATTGTAGGACTCAGTTTCAACAGAACCAGATGACAAACAACAACAATAACAACAACACCAATGATGGAGCCAGTTATACCTGTTACGGATGTATGAAAACCGGGCATTTCAGGCGAGATTGCCCTTATGTAAACAATCAAGGGGCAGGAGCATCTGGGAGAGTGCTGACAATGGGTCAGGGTGAAGCAGTGCAAGACCCAGCCGTTCTCACCAGTACGTTCCTACTTAACGACTCGTATGCATGCATCTTATTTGATAGCGGAGCGAAGAAGTTTTGTGAGTAATAAGTTCAAACACCTACTAAAACAACAACCCTAAAAGCTTAATGAAGCCTTCACGGTGGAAATAGCTAATGGGAAGACCGAATCAACTAAGGATATCTATGTAGGGTGTGCACTAACTCTAAAAAATCACACCTTCCAAATAAACTTAATGCTTGTAAATATTAGGAGTTTTGATGTGATCATCGGCATGGATTGGTTGAGCCCCCATCATGTCGATATTATGTGTCACGAGAAGGTCGTTCGCCTTCATCTTCCTAACCACGAAACCCTAATAATCTATGGAGATAAACCCGGTGCAAACCTTTGCCTTATCTCGAGTATTGAGGCGCAAAAGTGTTTACAAAAGAATAAATATGCATTCCTTACTCACGTGGTGGATAAAACCAAAGAGGAAGCGAACATTCAAAACATCCCAGTAGCATGTGACTTCCCGGATGTATTTCCAGAGGAACCTCCTGGAATACCCCCAGAATGACAAATCGAATTCCGAATCAACCTAGTTCCTGGAGCCACTCCAATTGCCAAATCACCCTATAGGTTGGCTCCTACAGAAATGCAAGAATTATCAAGCTAACTGAGCGAACTCCTGAATAAAGGATTCATTAGACCAAGCTTCTCTCCATGGGGAGCTCCGATTCTTTTTGTTAAAAAGAAAGACGAATCCTTCAGGATGTGCATTGACTATAGGGAACTGAATGAGCTCATCATCAAAAACCGGTATCCACTTCTGCGAATCGATGATGTATTTGACCAACTTCAAGGGGCTAGTTACTTTTCAAAGATAGATCTGATATCCAGTTATTATCAACTCAAAGTCCAAGATGAGGACATTCCCAAGACTGCTTTTCGAACTCGTTACGGTCATTACGAATTCGTCGTGATGCCCTTCGGTGTGACAAATGCCCCCACTACATTTATGGACCTCGTGAATCGAGCCTGCCGCCCATTTCTTGATAAATTTGTAATCTTTTTCATCGATGATATCCTCGTGTACTCTCGAAGTGAAGAAGATCATAGCCAACACCTCCGATAGATCTTAGAGACCCTTCGAGCTGAAAAGTTATATGTGAAACTCTACAAGTGTGAGTTTTGGCTCCACAATGTGAATTTCTTGGGGCATGTAGTTAGCTAGGAAGGAATCCATGTAGATCCCTCCAAAGTCAAGGCCATTGAAGGCTATACGATTCCAACAATGCCCACGTAGATTCCTCAATTCTTGGGTCTAACAGGCTATTACCAAAAGGAGTATTCAAGTCGTCGTGTGAAAACCCTATCAATCACCATCCAATCTCCCCTAGCCTCACAGGTCAAGGAAGCCCAATTAGACACCATGAAGCCAGAAAATATTGCTAGTGAATCATTACGAGGAATGGAGAAGGAGCTCGAAGTTAAAGACGACTGAACTCACTACTTCATGAATAGAATCTGGGTTCCCAAAATCAGGGGATTCAGAGAAGTAATCATGCATGAAGCCCAAAAGATGCGGTATTCTATTCATCTGGGATCAAATAAAATGTACTTGGATATCAAACAACAATATTGGTGGCCTAATATGAAGGCAGACATAGCCACTTTCTTGGGCAAGTGTCTTACATGCACCAAGGTGAACGTGGAATATCAAAAGCCCTCGGGACTACTGCAACAACCAGTGATACCAAGTGGAAATAGGAGAGGATTACCATGGATTTCGTGACAAAATTGCCAAAGACGGCAAACAGATTGGATGCTATCTGGGTAATCGTCGATAGACTAAAAAAATCCGCTCATTTCCTGCCAATAAAAGAATCCTACAAGATGGAAAAGCTGTCCCGAATCTACCTCAAGGAGGTTGTGAGACTCCATGGAGTGCCAGTATCTATTATCTCGGATCGAGATAGCAGATTTACTTCAAGATTCTGACAATCTCTTCAGAAGGCAATGGGAACACAGCTAGATATGAGCACCGCCTACCACCCACAGACGGATGGTTAGAGTGAGCGTACCATCCAGACAGCCGAGGATATGCTCCGAGCCTGCGTGATTGACTTAAGTAAATCATGGGATTCCCACTTGCCTTTGATCAAATTCTCTTATAACAATAGTTACCATACAAGCATCAAGGTTGCTCCCTTCGAAGCTCTTTATGGTCGTAAATGCAGATCGCCCTTACGTTGGGCCGAGGTGTGTGATACTCAACTAGCAAAAGGAAAATCGTCGGCCAATGCTCTTATAGGACCCGAAATCATTCGTGAAACAACAGAGAAGATAGTCCAAATCAAAGCTCGACTTCAAGCATCACTAAACCGACAAAAGAGTTATGCTGACAAGCGGTGAAAGCCTCTAGAATTTCAAGTTGGGGATCACGTGCTATTAAAGGTCTCTCCATGGAAGGGAATGATTCGATTTAGGAAAAGAGGAAAATTGAATCCGTGATACATTGGACTGTTCGAGATTCTTTCTCGGATTGGTCCAGTGGCTTATAAGATGTAGCTACCTGTCGAGCTCAGCAACATACACCCAGTGTTCCACGTCTCGAATCTGAAAAAGTGTCTATCAGATGAAACCCTTGTCATACCTTTGGAAGAGATTGAGATAAACGAGAATCTCCTGTTCGTCGAAGAACCAGTCAAGACTATGGATAGGGAAGTGAAGCGTACAAAGCAAAGTCGCATTCCGATTGTGAAGGTACGATGGAGCGCTAAACGTGGACTGGAATTTAGGTGGGAACGTGAAGACCAGATGAAGCAAAAGTACCCTCGCTTATTCTTTCCTTCACAATCATAGTTTTCAAAAGAATTTCGGGACAAAATTTCCTCTATCGCGGGGATGATGTCACAACTAGCATTTTAACTAGAAAATTATATTCTTGTCTAACCATTTAGCTATTCTAAAACATCTACTCTAAGTGAATCTCACTCAAATCTCATTTCAGTTCACATTTCATGTTCATTAAAGAATCTGAAAAACCCTAAGAATCCCGGTTTGAGTCCATATTAGACTAGGAATTCCTTATTGGGTCTAATGGACCAATAAGCACCCAATTCAAACTTTATTGGACTTAGAAGCCCTAACTGGATCTTAATTGGACCCAATTCATAAATCTAAAAGATTTCTAACCATTTGGGTCTAGAATGATTCATTCTAACCCTAATGGGTCTTATTGGGCCATAAATAATCAAATTAACCTTAGTGAGCCATAAGCCCATTCTTTTATTCTATTTGGACCGTGAATGCTTCCAAGGGCCTAATGAGCCAGAAAATTTTATGTTTAGGATCGAAGATCCTAACTAAAGATAATGGGCCCAACCTACTCCACCCTT